TGTATAACTTGAGTCTATAACTATTCATGAAATATTTTTCTCATTTTGTTACATTTAGAATCGTTATACAATAAGGCTTTCATTTGAGGAAGCATTCAGCTTTTTAGTATAAGTATATTCTCTGCATCTGCAGAAGATACAGGATTTATATTCATAAATTACAGTTGGAAATTATATCAATAAACTACAATAATTCATCGGATTTGTTTTAGGTTTTTTAAGTTAATTCAGTTTTGACTAATTCCATTTTCGTTCAGTGTTTAATATGTTCTTGTAACCGCAGTTATTTTTGAAAGGAATGCGGTAGGGGCTAAGAAGATATCTCCTAATTAAAGGAGGTCTCGATGTGAGAAAGATTAAAAGATTAAAAGATTGAATGGACTGATATAGAAAAACGATTTATCGATGAATGCTTCACAATTTCTATTAGATGAGATAAGAAAATATCTAAATATATCCCTGTCGTCCCGACATCGGCATACAATGTTACAAGCTTTATGTATAAAATAAGGACTAACGGTAGGGACTAAGATTCGTAATATGCATTACATAAATTGATTATAGACCAGATCGTACTACATATCACGTTGATTTCCATACAACCTTGCTTGTTCTATATGATCACAGCAGCGTTAGTAAAAATTGTTATCGATTGCACTTATTACATTCACTCACACACTCTTGTTTAGCCACTCAGTTCCTTGGACTATTCCAGTAACCATTAGCTACTTTGAAATTCGTTTTAACTATAATAATTACAATTTCTTTTTCACTTTCCATATTATTACTTTCAGGCTTGCAATTTTTGTACTTTTTCTTTGTAATCTTTGCTTCAATATGCGTACTTCTTGTGCATGCTTCCTTCTCATTTTGTGCATAAGTTTCCTTAACTGATAAATTTTCTTTGGGCAATTAAATATTCTCTCTGGCGATACAGATGTTCCTCTATTTACATACGACACGTTCATTTCAGTTGATTTGTCTGTTTTTTGCATTTTCGAAGTAGTACCGTCGTCCAATGACAAATTGAGCTAGAAGTAAAAAAAGTATTTTGGTAAAATGATTTCTCCTTTTCCAGTAAAGGTCATGTAATACATAGTAACTATAAAAACATACATTAAGAGATGAATTTTCTTTGTCTTCTATTTCCATGTGCGTATCTATGCTCCTTTCACATATATCGTTTGGAACTATTATCTATAGGCATGAAAATCAATTTACAAATCTTAAATACAATATAAACGTTTTATTTTTAAACCTAAATAAAATATTACATACGTAAGGTATTGCATGTGGTAGCAGTCTCCTAGAGAATGAAGAACATTCAAAATCTTCATTTTTAAAATGAAGAGAACATACTACCGGTCGTTTAGAGATAGACGCCTCATCCAATTGTAGACTCTTTAGCCACAATTGACGTCTGATGTTATTTTTTGGAAGTCTATGAAATTTATTTTTACAATTCCATTAAAACTATTTTTTAAGGAAAGTATCAAACACCTTGGGACAGTATCGTTTATAATAAATTATTAGACGAATTTGTAACACGATCAAATATACTTACACATGAAAAGTAATTTTTTAAATATACTTACACATGAAAAGTGATCTTCACTGTTTTTTCCAGATCTTCCTGTTTACGACTTTTAGTAGAAGTCCTATTCTTGCAGAATTCCACCATGCAACTCGGCATTTTCAATTTTTAAAGTCAATTCGTAAAATGAAACTTGTAAATCGGAAGCTTACTTTTTTATCATTTTGGATGCACGTATGGTCATCAACAGTCGTAAACAGTACCATGGACATCAGCAGAGATCTGCAGTGCAGATTCTGCACGAGCTGGTCCCGGACAGGGCCAATGAGAAATAGAGTGAAATATTATTTTTTCTAGATAATGAATCAAATATAGAAAAATTGTTTGTACGTTCAAGTACACTAACTGAATGATTATTTCAAATATCATGCAGTCAGATAACGTAATATTTTATTTTCGAAATCAGTTTTGCTACTAGTAACTTGTAGTAACTTCCAGTGCGCACGCCCCAAAAATCCATACGGGCTTATGTTCGTTTTCGACGAGACTTGTTTCAAATTGAAGAATAAACTGTACAACTGTAATGACAATCACCAAAAATGAATAAAAAGCTAACTGGAAGATGATGTTGAGAATTAAAATTCTGAAAAATGTCCTATCCCCATTCCATCTGTACATTTGAATTGTTTCCTTTTTTTTAAAATGTACATATTACGTCAATATGGAAAATAACGTTGATATTACAATTAATTACGATATCATAGAATACCTCCCATTTTTTGTTACCTATTGAACTTTGATCGTAGTGCTTAGTTTACTGACGATCAATTATGATAACCTATTCTGTTTAAGTACCTTTCATAAACATATGTATTCTTTAAGGAAAACCTAATTTTTTATGATTTCTCTAGTGTTTCAATGAAAGTTAATTAGAAACAAAATCATGTCATACGTGTCTTGCAATTTTCACCGCATGTCAATAGCATCTAGAGTTTTGACAATGTCAAAAGCGTTACGCCCTAACCTTTCTATCTTAGCCCGTTACAAATCAGGTAAAATAAATAAAGATAGATTATTTTTCTCAACAACGTCTCATTATTAATGCGTATTAGTAATATTATTATTATAGAGAATGTGATAGTTACCATTGGTGACGTTTCAAAACAAGTGAAATTATCACAGAAACCTGAATATGTACCTCGAAAATACTGTAAGTTGAACACGTTTGTTTTATACATTGTTTATTTCATTTTTGGAGGGAAATAACAAATAAATAATATTTGTGATTACAGTGATAAATAAGAGCGGTCAAGAGGCAGACTTATCTATGTTGAAACATTTAAAATGGATGCTTCAAAAAGATGTTTTGTCTCAGGATATTTTTTTAATTGGTGGACCAGGAACTAGACGTAGGAAATTAGCTCTGGCCTATCTAGAACTCACAGAACGTGAAGTAGAGTTTATTGCACTTTCAAGAGATACAACAGAGTCAGATCTGAAGCAAAGAAGAGAGATAGAAAGCAGTACTGCATATTATCATGACCAAACTGCTGTGAGGGCTGCCATAAATGGGAGGATTCTAATTATTGAGGGTGTTGAGAAGGCTGAAAGAAATGTACTTCCTATCTTGAATAATTTACTAGAAAATCGTGAAATGCATTTAGAGGATGGCAGGTTTCTTGTGCCAGCAACACGTTATGATAAGTTACTTCAGGTATTAATATTTGTACAATGCATTCATTTATTTCATATTACTAAGTGATTGATACAATTGGATTATTGGTATTTTCAGAATCATAGCCAAGAGGAGCTGGATAGCTGGAGGCTTGTTAGAGTCAGCGAAGATTTTAGAGTTATCGCACTTGGTATGCCTTCACCAAAGTATCCTGGTCATCCACTTGACCCACCACTCAGGTCTAGATTTCAAGCCAGACACATTTCACCACCAACTTTTCAAGTGAGTACATTTAAATCATATTTTCTCCTGGCTTTATAACATTTTTAAATAAAATATAGTTTGTT